ATCATTCATTCCTCAATCCACAGACCTACCATTCATTTTTCACTCTTTGCCAGGTCAATTTTCACAATGATTACTGATAAATGATATTCCAATTCCAGCAAGACAAGTTTCAAAGCACTGAGGTATCTCTATTTGTGTCTGCATGTCTGTTAATAGGTATATGGATTTTTTTTCTGATACTCTATAATTCATCACTTTCCTAAATTATTTTGATGATCAAAATGGGATGCTTCCAAGCTGATTCCTATGGTCTTTTCCCATGACCCATCATTTTCTTGAGAACATCTTTAATATTTGAAAATATTCCGGGTTTGGGGCTAGAGAGGTGGCTTAGCAGTTAAGAGTACCAGCTGATCTTGCAGAAGACTCTGATCCAGATTCCAGCACCAACATGGCAGCTAACAACCATCCATACCAGTTCCAGAGGATTCTCTGTGAGCACCACACAATGCGAGTGCACTTACCTACATGCAGGCAATATACTCATACACATAAGATAAAAATAAAAATAATAAATGAAAATACTCCAGGCTCGCCCAGCATGGTGGCACATGCCTTTAATTTCAGCACTTGAGAGGAAGCGGCAGGCAGATCTGTGAGTTTAAGGCCAGCCTGGTTTATATAGCAAGTTTCAAGCCAGCTGGGGCTACAGGGAGACCCTGTCGAAAGAAAGACAGAAAGGGAGGGAGGGAATATTCCGGGCTGATCTTTACTTTCCTGGATAGTTCTAGATTCAGCAATTGCTCCAAAAAGCCCTATTTCCTTTTCATAAAGCATATCAGAAAAAACCTCTGGTGATCTGCTGGACTCTGCCTCCCAAATGCTGGGATTGAGGATGTGTGTCACCATGCCCAGCTTTAGTCTTTGATTTCTTATCCCTACTTTTCCACCCTTAAATTTCATTGTATATATATTTTTATGTAACCTGCTTTAAATTATTTCTGGAAAATGTGTTTAAAATTGTCTCTCTTTGGAATAATAAAAGTATTCTTTTTAAAAAAAGGAAAAAGAAAAAAAGCTCTGGAATATGCACACTCACTACTAATGGAGTGGTCTCAGTTACTAGGTCCTTTCGGAAGAATCTAATTCTACAAACACACACACACACACACACACACACACACACAGTTTCTAAATTTATTTACCTAAGCATATAAACTTACCCTGAGACTCAAAATCCCAATCCATCCAGCAAAGGATTCTTCCCTGTCTTCCCCATTTCATCTCTGTATACTCCACATGGGAAGTCTTCATTTCCATTAACATCAACACATTTTTTTCAATTTAACAATATACCTAAAATAATTTCACGACTGCTTCACCTTCAAAAGTCACACAGTGTGAGGTCTTCAAAAATCACTTGCATTAGTTTTCTACTCCATTCAGCATGACTGACATTAATTTCAAATATTTCAGTTTGTCGTCTTTTCAACCTTTCCTTGCTTAATTTTTATAATGCAAATTATAAATATTCTTCTAAAAGTCAATAGTTATAAAAGTGAAAAACTATTTTAGTGTAAACCTGAGAAAATAAAATCTTATCTTTTTTCCATAACATTCTTCAGCAACCCTTGTAAATAATCAATATGTAAGCAGGCATATTTTATGTCCTTTACACAAAAAAGCACATTGAATATATTACTTTATGTTACAGACAGTGAGCACCCCTGTTTTGATCTTACTTAATATCACATTTCCAATTAAGTAGAAGTACTTTTGATACTGAAAATATGTTTTAACTGTGTTCAAAACACAGTAGTCATATTTTCCTATTTTCTAAAAAGCCTTTTGTTAGGAATGAGATTAATAGCATCAACCAGGATAATCATGATTTTTCTCCTTCAAACTACTAACACAGTGAATTTTAGGAATATAATGCATAACTATCTTTGGATTCCTGGTTGTATATCCCACTTAGTCACTGTGTATTGTTAATTTGTTGGGAGGGTTTACTTTATGTAGGATTTTATGTTGATATTTAATAGAAAAAACTTTAATTTTCCATCATATACTTCTGTAATTTTCTATTTCTGGGCTTATGCATTGGTTTTAAGTGGTTAATACTATTTCTGCTCTTTTCAGGGGTTGGGGATGTTGAGACAGGGTCTCTCTATAGCCCCAGCTGGCCTGAAACTTGCTATGTAGACTAGACTGGCCTCAATCTAATTTTTTTAATGTTCATGATTCACCTATCACTTCTACAAAATGGAAAATACTGTTGAAAAATTCACTTACAAATAATATTTTGGCTACAGAATACCAAAAAATATCAATCTAGAAATATTTTTAAATTCACCAAAACTGCAATTGCCATTGTATAATAAGATTTCCAAATTGAAAATAAAAATCCATTAGCCAATACATTTCTTAGCTAACAATATGCACTGATATTACCATTTATGGGAAATTAGAACATATCTGTCATTTTTTTTCCTGGCAATTCATGGAAAGTGAAACCACCATGTTTCATGACTGAATGAGTTCAATAAAATAAAACATTTAAAGAACAATATATATTGTGTGAACTGCAAGGTAGATTTAGTGAAGAAGATATATTCAGATCAAGGGACCTGAAATTTTATTTCAACAGCCAACAATGAAGATGACCCATTTAGGTATTAGATCAAAGAGCTTGCATATAAAGTCAAGAGGTTTCTTTGTTTTTGTTTTCCGCATTGCTTTGCAGAGACAGAATGTGCTGCCCCTGCAAATTTTTGGCCATGAACTACACATCATGTCTCTTTGAGGCATGGATTCTCCCCACAGAAAATGTCAAAAATGCCACATGTCAAATTTTAAATTTGTCAGGGCTAGGACTCCAGAAGCACAAACTCTCAGGAGTACAGGTCAGCAAAGTAAGGCCCAGGAGCTAAATATGGTCCACTACTTATTTTTTTTTATAAATAAAGGTTTATTGGAATACAGTCATATCCATTTGTTTAAGTATCATCTGGAGTTCTTTTACACAACAGCAGAGCTTATATACTGAAGCAGAGAAAGCTAGATTAAAATATAGAAAAAAATGTACTGGACAGTATAATCAATAAAGTAGATAATATATATTATATATACATATATAAGGCCTATTATATCATTTGTTTCCCT